GATATATGGGGACCAAAATGTATCCACTGGCAGAACGAGTTTGGAAATGTTACAGAAATCCTGAGGATTCCAAGTCACAAAGACATCTTGCCACTTCTAGAGGAAAGAAAAATCACAGAATGGAAACAATTTCTGGACTCACAGCACACAGGAAATAGCTTTGATTTTACAGAAAAAAGCTCTTACCATGGTCAGTAAGAAATAGACAGTGACAGTTTGTAACTTTTCAGTCTAGAGAAACAAAATGGGAAAGTGATTATCATGATTTCATTAACTAAGGTAGGTACCAAGCTTGGAGGCTGTTCAGCGTTTTTCTTACAATGATGGCGTGATGGGTGTCAGACATATGAGAAAATCAGGTCAGGCCAATAACTTACTGTTCTTGGTCTTACAAACTTATGAGTAGAATGGAAGGGTAAGGTTCAATGTTTGGAAAAAATAGTTGCCTGATAGAATCCACCTGGCTATGTAAATCTGTGCTGGGAGTGGATCCGGAGCAGCAGAATGGGAGAAAAATTGCAACACGGCTCAGGGAAATCGAGACTACAGACTCTGATTCCTGATGTATAAGGCGGGCAAAACCAAATAGAATTACCAAGTCTCTCCTCACTCTCCCCCGAACTCCACTGTGCTGTAACACCGGCTAATATCGTTGGTTCCCTTTACCCAGGCTAAGCAGGGGTGTTTCCCTTGTAAGAGGCTTTTTTTGGAGGAAACAGAAAAAGAGAGAAGTTCAGATGAAATGCAAATCAAGGGCCAAATTCCTGAGTATTCTTGGACAACTTTGCAGTGCTTTGGCAACACAATGCAGCTTAACCTATCCACCTTTTAATTGGCCTGAGGCTGCTAGAAAAATGAATCTTGCCCTGGACTTTGATCTTTTAGAGCTCATTTTAATGTGACACCTGTTCAACATGTGATGAGCACTAAAGCAATTTTAAACAACCCTCTGATTTGTGCAGATGTGACAAACTATTTTACACCTGTCACCTCCAAACATACATTGCTCTGGATTCTACTTTCCAACCAGAGCCATAAAGTCTGGAGAAGAAGACCTACGGTGCAGGTTCTACCCTTTTCACATCAGTGGCAGTAATAGTGGAGTTACTCCTGATTTGCGCTAGTCTGAGTGAGAGAAGAGTCACTCACTCACTTTAGGATCATCAGCTGCCTCAACTTTTCAATCTCCACAATATTTCCTACTATAAAAAATAATAAAGAAGTTTGTTTCCTTACCACTGAGAGGATGGACATCAGTATAAATTGTATCTCCACTTTCAATGGCTCTTCCCAATTTTCCTTGGGTATTGTACATAGTGCGAGTGGTCTTTCAGAGGAGATATTCAGATACTGAATAACGTTATCGTATTTACAGAGCTGTTCTGGGGCGGCACCTGTGGAAATAAAATGAATGTCTGGTTACATCCAAATTCCTTTTTTCAGAGCAATACCGGGCAGAATCTCAGCATACACCACACACCCAGCCTATGGAATACGAGTACATCAGAGGATAAAAGGCATTGGGCTGTATCTTCTCGGAAACCACTGTCAGATCTTTGTCCCCTTTCACACTGGCAGGACTAGGGTGCCCGTCTTAATCTTCTTCATCCATGTATGAGAATATAAATTACTCCTGGGTAATCCGGTTGGTTTTCATCTGGTGCTACTACAATTTAATTTACCTGTTGCCATAGACAAAGTGAGAATAGCTAAGAATGCTTCCCACATC